TTGGGGGGCCTGCGGGGGCCGGCAGAGGGCGCGGGCGCGGGGGCTCCGGGCTCGCCCCGCCGCTGCGGGCCGGCGCGCCCATGGCGTCCCCAAGGTGACGCTGCCGGCGGCGGAGCAAGCGCCCATGAGCCTCTCGGCGAGCTTCTTCGCCGGGCGCCGGGTGAGCGGCGGGCCCGGGCCTGCGGGGAGGCCGGGGCGCGGCGGCCCGAACCTGGAACCGCAGGGGCAGGCAGGTGGACAGGCAGGTGGACAGGCGGCGTCGCGCCCGCGCGGCCCCTTGGCCTCTGACCTTCGCCCTCTGCTCCCGCCGAGGCCCGCCGCGAACGGGCACCTGCGTGTTACCGAAGGCCCGCGTTTCTGGGAAGGCGGTGACGGGGTGACCTGAGTGTGCCCGGGTCGCCGGCCGGCCGGCCTGCCTGACGCACTGGGGTTCGCGGCCGGTGACTTGAGCCCCTGGACTCGGGGTTCCCGTTCCGTGTGTGGTTCCTGCGCTCACCACAGGGCTCCCCCAGGCGGCCCGGGTGACCCGAGGGGCCCCGGTGAGCTCTGACCTCGCAGCCTTGGAGCCCCGTCCTGCCCACCAGGTTAGGTCGGGGCTCCGGGCGCCCGTGGCCGGCGTCTGGCGGGGGCTGCCCTGTGCCCTGCGGCCCGGGAGTCAGAGTGAGGCATCCCCGTTTTTAGGTGGGAAAATCCGGGTTTGGAGAAAGCAGTCGCTACCCCGCTTAGGCAGCTCCGGAGTGGCCAGGCCTGGATTCGTGCCCCAGCCCCCAGACTTTAAAACGACGTCTCTTAGGGGTCGGCGCTGTGGCTCAGCGGGTTCAAGGCCCAGCTCGCGGCCCGGCATCCCATTGGGTGTCGGTTCAAGTCCCGGCTGCTCCTCTTCCCATCCAGCTCTCTGCTATGGCCTGGAAAAGCAGGAGAAGATGGTCCAAGTCCTTGGGCCCCTGCACCCACGTGGGAGACCTGGAAGAAGCTCCTGGCTCCTGGCTCCTGGGTTCTGGGTTCTGGGTTCTGGGTTCGGATCGGCGCAGCTGAGACCTTTGTGGCCAACTGGGGAGTGAACCAGCAGACGGAAGACCTCTCTCTCTCTTTCTCTCTCTCTCCCTACTTCTCTCTGGGACTGATCCAAACTTGACTAACTTAAAGTCTCTTAAATCTCTCTTGGGACTGATACAAACTGAACTGAATTAAAATCAATTTTGTGAGAGAAATTTTTACATACACAGAAGACAGCAGTACAATAAACTCCCACACATTCAGTACCTGGCTTGTACATTACCACGATTTTGTCACATTTGCTTCGATTTCCTTTTCCTTTTCATTACTGATTTTTAAAAAGTCATTTCACCTTACATACTTCTGTATGTATTTTTTTTTATTTTTAAGGATTTGTTTATTTATTTGAGAGGCAGAGGTAGAAAGAGAGACGGGTCTTCCATATGCTGGTTCACTCCCCAGTTGGCTGCAATGGCTGGAGCTGAGCAGATCCGACGCCAGAAGCCAGGAGCTTCCTCCAGGTCTCCCATGTGGATGCAGGGGCCCAAGGAGTTGGGCCATCTTCCACTGCTTTCCCAGGCCACAGCAGAGAGCTGGATGGGAAGAGGAGCAGCCAGGTCTCAAACCAGTGCCCATATGGGATGCCGGTGCCACAGATGGAGGCTTAGCCACTTCGCCACAGCACCAGCCCCAGTATGTACTTTGAATAATGAATATTTCTTATAAAACTATGATGCCACTTTCATACCTAACAATATCACTTACAAAAATTCCTGTTCAGTAACTTTTTAAAAAAAGATTTATTTATTTGAAAGAGTTACAGAAAGAGAGACAGAGAGAGAGAGAGATCTTCCATCCACTGGTTTACTACCCAAATGGCTACAACAGCCAGGGCTGAGCCAAGCTGAAGCTGGGAGCCAGGAGCTTCCTGCAGGTCCCCCAGGTGGGTGCAGGGGCCCAAGCACTGAGACCATCCTTTGGTGCTTTTCCCAGGTCTTTAGCAGGGAGCTGGATCAGAAGTGGAGTAGCCAGGACTTGAACCAGCGCCCCATGGGGTGCCAGCGTTGCAGGTGGCAGCTTTACCTGCTGTGCCACAACGTCAGCCCCATTCACATTTTTAAATGTTTGTGTATTTATTTTCACCCACTTGAAAGGCAGAGTGACAGAGATCTCCCATCTCTCTGCTGGTTCACTCCCCTAGTGCCTGCAACAGCCAGGGCTACACCAGGCTGCAGCCAGGAGGCCGGACTCCATCAGCATGTCCCACATGGGTGGCAGGGCCCGAAGTATTTGGACAGTCTGCTGCTGCCTTCCCAGGCTCATTGGCAGGGGTTGGACTGGAGACAGCCATCAGGACTCGACCAGTGCTGCGCTATGGGCTGCCAGCATCGCAGGCAGCGGCTGAACCTGCGGCACCACCGTGTCATCACAAGACTTGTGTGTGTTTGAGAGGCGGAGTTACAGAGAGAGCGAGCGACAGAGAGGAAGGTCTGCTGTCTGCTGGCTCACTCCCCAAGTGGTCGCAACGTCCGCACTGAAGCCAGGAGCTAGGAGTTCCTCTCCCGGTCCAGCTCTCTGCTGTGGCCTGGGAAGGCAGCGGAAGACGGCCCGAGCACTTGGGCCCCTGCACCCGCGTGGGAGACCAGAAGAAGCGCCTGGCTCCTGGCTCCAGAGCAGCCCAGCTGCGGCCGTTGAGGCCATCTGGGGAGTGAACCAGCGGATGGAAGACCTCCCTCCCTGTCTCTCTGTAACTCTACCTCTCAAATAAATAAATCTAATTTATAAAGAGGTTAAGTGCGTGACAGGTTTAAACTTGTTTTAAACATGCGTAGTTTTGATGCCATGTAATTAACAGTGAGTAAAACTTAATGTGATTACTTGAAACTGGCAACAGAAGAAGGTACGATGATTGGGACGTTATTCATTGACTGATTTAGGTGATCAATTAGTTTCGTTTTGACGTCAGGCTGCTTTGTGTGTTTAGAACATCGGGTCAGAAATTGAAATCTCCACCGTCGAGAAGCAGCGGAAGGAGCTGCAGCTGCTCATAGGAGAGCTGAAAGACCGGGACAGAGAGCTCAATGACATGGTCGCCGTGCATCAGAGGCAGCTTCTGTCCTGGGAAGAGGACCGGCAGAAAGTGCTGACCCTGGAGGAGCGTTGCAGCAAGTTAGAAGGTGAGGACCCGCTCAGCAGCGTCGTGGCACTGTGTCCGCCTGCCGGCTCGCTGGGGAAGGCCGGGACGAAGAGCTCCTGCCGTCTGGGGTTTAGGCTCACAGAAGATAGGCGGGCTGTGAGCAGCCACCATCAGACAGGCACCACTGGGGAGTCAGAAAGGATGCTGGGTGGAGCCCACTTAACGTGGGGCGAGCTAGGTGCGCTCGCCCTGACTTGAACGGCACGCAGTATGTGTCTGAAGCTAACCAGCCCAAAGATGTGCAACTTCCATGTGTCAAGATGGAAAAAAATAACAAGCGTGGGCAGCATTGTGGTGCCAGTAGTTAAGCTGCTGCCTGCAACGCTGGCATCCCGTACGAGCCAGCATCTCATATGAACCCTGGCTGCTGCACTTCCAATCCAGCTCCCTGCTAGTGCTCCTGGGAAAGCAGCGGAAAAGAGCCCAAGTGCTTGGGCCCCTGCACCCATGTGGGAGACCCGGCTGGAGCTCCTGCCTCCTGGCATGTTGCAGCCATTTGGGGAGTGAACCAGCAGACAGAAGATACTCTGGCCCTCTCACTCTCACTCTGCCTTACAAATAAATACATCTTAAAAAAAAAAATGGAACAAGAGTCATGGGGTATTTAGAGGACAATTTGAGGAAGAAATGAGTGAAGACAGCTTCTGCCCACCCACTGCTCGGGTCTGAAGCTTTCAGTATTGCACTTAAGTACCTAAAACAGTCTTTTCTACCTATTCTAAGGCTGTTGTACTGGTCGGGAAGATGCTGGTGGGAGTTACCGGGCGCAAGCTTTGGAGAATGTTTGCCAGCCTCTGGTACCGTGGCGGGCGCACGTGCCCCACACCCAGCACCCCACTCCTGGGGATATGCTCACCCTGCGGTGCGCACGCCAATCACCTGAGGGGCTTGTCAGGACACAGATTCTGGTTCGGTGGGGCTGGGGCCCCGGGGTCTGTGTTTCCTGTAGGTTCCCAGGTGGTATCAGCGTGGCCAGCCCAAGGGCCACAGGGAGGCTCTAAGAAAATCTTGCAAAAATGTATGGAAATGAATATTCAGGGGTGGGCGCCTGGCCTGGCGGGTCAGACGCTGGTTGCAATGCCTGCATGCAGAGTGCCTGGGTACGATACCCAGCTCCGGCTCCTGACTCCGGCATTCTGCTAATGAGGACCCTGGGAGGCACTGGTTGGGTCCCTGTCACCTGGAGACCAGGTTGAGTTCCCGGCCCCTGGCTCGAGGGCCATTTGGTGCATTTGGCTGTGAGCCAGCGGGCGGGAGCGCTTGGGTGCCCCCACTCGCCCTCTCTGCCTCTCAGAATTGCTGCGAGGAGGCGGCAGCTGCCGTCCCCTGCTCGCCCCGCCTGCCTGTGGTTTTGCTGCAGGTGTCCCAGGAACCTAGCTTTGCTTTCCAGAGGAGGACATTCGGAGCAGCGTTGCTGATCACTGGGTCACCATCAGGCACGGCCTGGATAAATAAACGTTGTTTGACCGTCTCACGGCCTGTTGCGTAGCAAGGTCGTGTGCAAATGTGAGTCGGCAACAGCGTGAGTGGATCCCAGGATCCACTTTGCAAATAGAAGTCCCAGAGTGTCTGAATCCCTGTCTGGGTCACCTGAAGCTGTGTTTTAGGGATGCGGGTGGTGGGTGCGGTAGGAGCTGAAGGGAGTGCGGAGGAGGCGCACCGGGGCTCGCGCCTATGCGGCAGAGGGTTTCCTGGGAAGAGCTGTGCTGTAGAGCAGTGCTTAGCACGGGTCCACTGTCCAGCCCCCGGTTCTGAAACCTGCGCGTGCTAAGCAGGCGTCCCAGCTGCCCCCGCGTAAGCGTAAGCGCTGCTGCCCTTCCCCCCAGGCGAGCTGCAGAAGAGAACCGAGATAATCCGGTCCCTCAGCAAGAAGGTGAAAGCGCTCGAGAGCAGCCAGGCCGAGTGCCAGGCGGCGCTGCAGAGGACGCAGCTGCAGCTCCAGGAGATGGCGCAGAAGGCCACGCACTCGTCGCTGCTCTCCGAGGACCTGGAGGTGGGTGCGCGGGACGGCGTCCTGCATCTGGGCCACCGTGGCGCTGTCCTACCCGGAGCTCCGCGAGGCGTGTTCAGCAGCTGTGTGGCTGGGTTGAGGAGCATCCCCCATCGCGGAGCAATGGGTTCTTTGAGGAGGCTTGTCAAGGCTGAGAGAAATGTCACGTTTTTGTAGCTTCCAGTAATTCATTCTTCCCTCTTTCCCTCCTTCCTTCCTTCCTTCCCTCCTTCCTTCCTTCCTTCCTTCCTTCCTTCCTTCCGGACAGGCAGAGTGGACAGTGAGAGAGACAGAGAGAAAGGTCTTCCTTTTTCCGTTGGTTCAGCCCCCAGTGGCCGCTGAGGCCGGCGCATCGCACTGATCAGAAGCCAGGAGCCAGGTGCCTCTCCTGGTCTCCCATGGGGTGCAGGGCCCAAGCACTTGGGCCATCCTCCACTGCACTCCCGGGCCACAGCAGAGAGCTGGCCTGGAAGAGGGGCAACCGGGACAGAATCCGGCACCCCAACCAGGACTAGAACCTGGGGTGCCAGTGCTGCAGGCGGAGGATTAGCCTAGTGAGCTGCGGCACTGGCCTTTTTTTTTTTTTTTTTTTTTTGACAGCAGAGTTAGTGAGAGAGAGACAGAAAGAAAGGTATTTCTCCCGTTGGTTCACCTCCCAAATGGCCGCTATGGCTGGTGCTGCACTGATGCCAAGCGAGGAGCCAGATGCCTCCTCCTGTGTACATGCACAGCCCTGTGTGTACATGTGTGTGCCGTGTGCCCTGTGTGTACATGCACAGCCCTGTGTGTACATGCGTGTGCCCTGTGTGTACATGCGTGTGTCCTGTGTGCACATACACAGCCCTGTGTATCCTGTGTGTACATGCACAGCTCTGTGTGTCCTGTGTGTACATGTGTGTGCTCTGTGTGTCCTTGTGTACATGCGTGTGTCCTGTGTGTACATGCACGGCCCTGTGTGTACATGCGTGTGCCCTGTGTGTACATGCACAGCCCTGTGTGTCCTGTGTGTACATGCACAGCCCTGTGTGTACATGCACAGCCCTGTGTGCCCTGTGTGTACATGCACAGCCCTGTGTGTCCTGTGTGTACATGCACAGCCCTGTGTGTACATGCACAGCCCTGTGTGTCCTGTGTGTACATGTGTGTGCCCTGTGTGTCCATGTGTGTGCCCTGTGTGTACATGCACAACCTGTGTGTCCATGCACAGCCTTGTTTGCCACTGTATGTCCATGGGTGTGCCCATATGGATAAATGCACAGCCCTGTGTGTCAATGCACTATCCCTGGTTAGCTCTGTGTGTACATGTGAGGACATCTGTAGGTACAGGAACAAACTAGTATGTATATGCACAAATTGGGGAAATCGTGGGTTAAGGTATTTGCACTGTGGGGCTATGAATGAGCCTATAGATGCGAACAGAGTGTGGGTTCACATTCCTTGTTCCCCTGTAGTGAGCATGCTGGTTGCCCTGTGA